TAACCTCTCGTCAATGTGCGTTTTTCGCATTGCATTGCTGCAAAAAACGCTTAAAAAGTAGTTAGTGTCATCTAACGGAAAAAAAAAAATTCGTGTATTGCGACCTATATTTCAGAATCTCTATTATTCCATTTAATTTCTTGTTCGTACTAATACTGCCCCAGTACCGTCCTGGCATCACTCTAGTGCCAGTATAGTACGACTGTAGTACCAATCTGGTGCTGCTGTGGCGCTGCTCTGGTACCACTGAGGCGTCGCTCTCGCGCCGCTCCTGTACTACTCCGATATCAACCCTGGTTCCACTCTAGCACGGCACCGACACCATTCTAGTACCACTCCGGCACCTGCCCGGTAACACTCTGACGCCACTCTGGTACCACTCGCGTACCACTTCGATGCTGCTCTGGTACCACTGTGCTACCAATCTATTACCACTGGGCGCAAAAGGAAGGTGTAAAGCAACAACCATTCGTGCAATTAACGACCTGAGCACTGTGAGTCTGACGTAAAAACGTGTGGTCACACAGGCAGACTCGGTGCGTTTCAGTCTGCGTTTGATTTTCATTTATTGTTTTCCAGGACTTTGGTGCTGCCTTTGGGATGATTTTCTTTGAGTAACATAAAAGTAGTGCATTTCTAGTGCCACTGACATTGCAGTCATGTCATCTGGGTGATTTCAGATGGTAACGAAGTTACCGACTTTTTGGAATCGTATCGAAGCTTCAGTGATAAGAATCGTTGTCGAGCAATTTAGCAGTTGCCTAGCTTTGGCTTCAATTCGCGGCCGATCAGTTGCAACAAATGTTTTGGCTTTGTTTGCAATGCTAGATTCTGAAGCAGATTGGTTCAAGTCTTGGCTTCATTCGTTTCCATATCGAAATATGATCAAATCGAAACTCAGCATTTTATCGAAAAAAATTTTCAAATACTTAAGGAACGCTGAAAAAGTAAGTTTTGCAAGAAAAAAACCATTCTTGTAATTACTGGCCGAGAACTTTTTAGTACCGAATCTTGTTTTTATGGTACTTTATTATTTCGATTACCTACCGTTCATAAAGAGATTTTTTAATAGCAGCTGGCAACTTTTCCAGTTGCTTTCTCCAAAGCCACACCGCTCTTTTGGCGATCCCGGCATTCATTTCGTTATTTGGAGGAATTTCATTCTTAATAGTTCTGATGGACAAAATGTGTTTTTTGTGAATGCCTTTATGAAAAATAGTTATGCCTCCGAACGGCATCAGCGAGATCATCATGTTTTCAGCTTGTGCAAATGCCAACGATTCCATTACAAGGAATATATTACTTTTGATTCCAGCGTTATTTCTACAATGGATTAAAGTTTTCAGGACAAAATTTCCAAGCAGCCATTACATCATTCCTTTCTGGGCTACTCTGGGAGACAAATTCATCAGCTGCTGCTTCGGTCTTGTTGCTTGATAACACTGAACTGGCTGAAATATAACGATCTGTCTGACCTGTACTCTGGTCAACAGTGGATCCAGATTCTTGAACTGGCCGTAAATTCTTGGAACCAGAAAAAAGGTCGATCTGACATTTCTCACGTTCTATATCACTTAGCGAGTTGCCGTAATTCAGCGCAGTTTCTGTTGAATTCGGCAGGTATCAGTGTTTTGAAGAAGCTCACTCCGTCTACTTTCGTAGCGATTTTGAGCACAGCTTCTCTAAATGCTGATCTCGCGAGGGTCGACAAATTGTTGGTCAGGAAGGAGATTCTGTATGGATTCACGCCAGATCCTTCGAAACGGCTCCAATTTAGGTCGTTTTTCGATTTGGAGGATTGCGTTTGGAATCAGCTGCTACGCCTTTTTTCTCATCCAAACAAATATTCGCTGGAAGAACTGCAGTCCCAGTGCGATATGCTTCAAAATTTAAAGAGGAAGAACTCGGTAGAAGCGTTTCTGAAATGTGCGCAGCATGGATTGTTTGTGGTCTCGAAGCAATATCTGGAAGTGGAACTCACTGAGCGACAGCTTGTGGCTTCACATTTGATGGAGCAGCTGAACTGCGAAAGCGTAACTGCCTGCGTGAACTGTCGTGATTCTCGAAACCAGTACAAGAATTATGTGTTTGAAATGCTTGTAACAGTGCTTTGGCAACCGTATTCAGGCGTGCAGACGCTACGGTACTTCGACTGTGCTACTTATTTTCGTAATTTGTTTCAAAGAATTCGAACTACGGGGAATTTTGAGGCAGTGAGGAAAATTCGAATACTTGCCCTGAATCTGGATGTGGTTATCGAACTGCGGTGTAGGTCGAAGCTCATGTGGAGAATTGTGCAGGTACTTTTTTGGTAATTTTAAATATCGCATATTGTTCGGCTCGTAGTTTATAACCTCAGAATTCTTAAATTCCGCCTCATAATTTCTGGTTCTTCTGATGAAATTACTGTTTTGTGGCCAAGCACCTATTGAAATCCCCGAACAAACTGCCTGTTACTCTCCGATACTAAGATAGCAATCACGCTCTTCGACAAAACAAGAGTGAGAATGCTGGATAGGCTCACTGAAATCACTGATGATGGAAATGTTATATAAAATGCTACTTGAAACTTTTGTGGTACTGAAATACTTTCGTTCATATGGGTTCTAATGTGAGTTTTGTCTTTCGGCCCGACGCAGGCTTTGCTTTCACTGCATTTGGCCAGATCCAGTTATTTAGTACCTGGTGACTACTGAAAAAATCTGAGCTTCAAACTCATGCGCTGTGATGAAAGGATCCACTTTTCAAAAATGGTTATGGACAGGAAGAGAATAGAGTCACTCCGTTCCACATCCGGACGCGGCGTGATACCCACTAAGTCATCGGCCCTTGAGCTCCAGCATCAGCTGGCAGGACATTTACTGTGTATCCGCTTTCAAGGCAGACACAGGACGCAGCTGTGCCAAATCCGTCGATCCT